GAGGCGGCTTCAAGGCCACTGTGCTGCAGCAAGAGCACAGCACTGTGCTCCTTGTGGGTGAGACGGCGGGGTGCCCCAGCAGACCCCACGTCGTCGGAAAGGCAGCTGGAGCCATGGCCTTACTGGGGATGGTGCGGGGCATGGGGGACAGAGGCGTCTCGGGTGACCAGCAGGAAGGCAGCGCCTGGGGCATTGAAGGCCTGGACAGTGGGGACACAGCTGCCCACAGCCCACTGACCTTTCTGGGAGGATCAAAGTCAGGGCACCCAAGGAGCTTGGTGGTGGTTGGCGTGCTTGATGTTGTGGACAGCGTGGGCGTTGGCGTGGGTGTGCTGGGCGTTGGGGAGGGGGTGGACGGGCAGGACCAGTTGAAGAATTGCCAGGAGCAGTCCAGCGAGCAGTTCACGAAGTAGCAGGTGTCCCCGTGCGTGCTGTTGTACACCACCTCGCCTGCAGGGGGAGAGACCAGTGCCTACGCCATCCAGGCAGGGCTGGCCGCCAGTGTGCACAGGCAGGTCCCCCCCCAGGCCACCAGAGGGGAGCCCACCAACCCCTCTCCCCCTGACTCGTGGCTGCAGCAAGGTGGGGCTGGCCACGGAATCAGCTCTCCCCACGCGGCACCCAGCTTCCCAAGCGAGCTCCCGGTTTAGACCTGAAACCCGGCTCCTACCCATGGAAAAGCAGAGGCCAAAGTCCCACCAGCCTCCACCATCTGAGAGTCGGAGGGAACAGCCTGCATACCTGGGGCGTAGAATGTACCATTCAGAGAACAGCAGGGGAAGCAGGAATTGGTGGTCAAGCAGGAGGTGGTGATGGTGCTCGGGGTCGGGGTGGACATGCTGGTGGTCGAGGTGCTGGTGGTCTGTGGCGTGGTTGAGGTCGGGGTGGGCGTTCCCGTGGTGGTTGTTGAGACAGTCACAGGAGTGGGTGTGAAGGGGGTTCCCGGGGTGGGCGAGGGGGGCCCGGTGGTGGTCCCGCTGGTGAGGGTGGTCTCCGAGGAGGTGGGACCTGACGTCTGTATGCCTGTAAGAATGGAGATGATGGCCGAGGGGTGATGGCAGCGGCTCATCATAGATGTGCAGCCGGACAGCTCCCTTGGGGCAAGGTATGTGGCATGGAAAGGCCCCACGTCCACTGCCCCGGCTCTCAGTCAGGGTGAGCAGGGCCACATGCATGGTGTGGGCAAGGGGAGGCCCACAGGGGAGGAGTGCCTTCCCCTGGGCAGCAGCCGAGCTCCCCAGCCTGACCGGAGGTGTTGCCACAGGACACTGGCCCAACCATCAACCAGCTGCCCAGGTGGGAAGGTACAGGTAGAAGAGGATGGAGGGAGGGTCTCCCAGGGCACCTGGCTGGCAGCCTCTGTCCCCCACCCAGCCCTGGCACCACATGCCTCAGTGGGCTTCCCTGGGGATGGTTTTGCCCATGTTGCCCATCACACAGCAGTGGGCTGAGGGAGGTGGGCTGCAGGCAGCTGTCCTAAGGAAGGAGGTTCTGTGGGGGCCAGAGGGGGCCTTCAGCTCAGCCACCCACCCACAAGCCGATGGTAAGCAGCACCCTGAACACTCGGTGGCCAGGCTCCGCTGGTAAGGGAGGCTCGCCAAGCCTGCTGGAACCTTCCTGGAGACCCCTCTCACAAGGCAGAGCAGGGAGCACCAGCTCGGGTCCAAGGAGTTTCAATGTTCTCCTGGCAAGAGAGTGAGCTCTCCGGGGTGAGGAGGAAGCAAAACTGTGTGCCGTGGGGTCTGTGTACCTGGAGTGGTGGTGCCAGGGCTTCCCGTTGTAGTGACCGTTGTTGGGGGCCATGGTGTGCTGGATGTCTCCACGATCGTTGGGGTGACAGTCAGAGGCCTGGTTGATTCCGTGGAAGAGGGGGAGGTGGACGGAGATGTTGGAGGGGAGGAGGACTCAGGCAGTTTTGGCGTGGTGGTCTCAGCAGTGGGTACTGTGCCTGTAGGGGTCAGGGTGTCCACGCTTGTAGTGAGAGTGCTGGTCGTTGCAGTTGGGGTCACAGTGGTGGTAGTAATGGTGGTGGTTGTGCTCTCTGTGACGGTAGGAGTGGGAGTGGTGGTCTCTGAGGTGGTGAGGATTGGGGTCGGGGTCTCTGTGGTGGTGGTGGTGATGTTGGGGGTCAGGGTTGTGGTGTCTGTGGTGGTGGTGGTGGTGGTGGTGGTGGGGGTCGGGGTTGTGGTCTCCGTGGTGGTGGTGGTGGTAGTGATGGTGGGCGTTGGGGTTGTGGTCTCTGTGGTGGTGGTGGTGGTGGTAGGGGTCGGGGTTGTGGTCTCTGTGGTGGTGGTGGTGGTGGTGGTGATGGTGGGGGTTGGCGTTGTGGTCTCTGTGGTGGTGGTGGTGGTGATGGTGGGGGTCGGGGTTGTGGTCTCTGTGGTGGTGGTGG